CTGTGTTGCGCTCCCCGCCCCGCGGAGCCCTGGCGGCCTGAACCAGTTGCGCCTGCCCGGCGGCCGCCGAGGAAAAGCATCACGTTTCTTTTCGACGTTTCTAATGTCTTCTCCTCCCGTCTCCTTCCCGTTGCAGAGTTCGGAATGTGCGTTTCCTTGTTCATCGGATGCCTCGGGGGTCTGTGAAGCGAGGAAAGTGTAAACTTGTAGTAAAAATGAAAATACATATCGTCGATCTCCATGGGATGGAGATCCTGTACAAGCACTGAAAAACAACAACGACAAAAAAAAAAAAAGCAAACAATAACACTAAAATTTTAGGCACTCTTAAAAGACCTGCCTCTAAAAGCATTGGATGTAGCATTGTGCAATTAGGTGTTTCCTTATTTGCTTCATTGTACTACCTGTGTATATAGTTTTTACCTTATGTAGCACATAAACCTTTTTGGGAGAGGGGGGAGGGCGTGGAAGAGGGTGACGGATCAAAACTTGCTTTCACAATCTAGCAAGCAGAGAAACCTATGAAGAAAAGCAGTGTAGGTTTTTTATTACTTAAAGATGTATTGTCCTTTTAAGTGGGTCCACCATGTTTTTCGTTATTTTTTCCCCTCTTTTTTATGCACCACCATGCTAACACTGGTTATAGCAGATTATTAAGAGGCTGCTTGTGAAATTTCTACTTACTACATTAAGCTGAAGAGCTGGGAGCTGTGATGATTCCGTTATGTAATAGCAAAAGGTTTTGTTCCCCCCTGCCGCCGACCTCGAATCCCTATAGTGAATTTGAATGCTGGTAAAAGTTTTATAAATTCATCCTATCATTACATTGCCTGATTTTTTTTTTTTGTTTAAACTAATCTGGAGGGCTTCTGCCCCGAATCTTGAATATTGTTGTTTCCTGAGCTGACCCACTTCCCGATGTGTTTGTATGTGCGTGGAAAAGGATACTACATCTTTAAACAGTATTTCTACATTGCCTGTGTACCTGTATGTAAAAATAAAAAAAAAGTTTGAAGTGTACCTGTGTACATAACTCTGTAAAGACACTGAGAAATTATACTAACTTATTTATGTTAAAAGATTTTTTTTTTAATCTAGAAGAGGATATTTTCCCCATAAAGCCAAAGTGGCATGTTTTTGTGCATTTGTAAATGCTCTTATTTGGTAGACTTTTTAGGGATTTTTTTTGTTTTTTTTTCCTTTTTCTGATAATTAATATGGCTGTGCTTAAAGGATTGCAGACTGAGCCAATTTAATATTTTTTTGTAATGTGTGGGAAAAAAAATTCCAGATTGATACTGTTTCACATCAAGCAATCAATAAAGAAAACTGCCATATATAATAAATATGTTCTTTACTAGTGTGTGTTTCAACCTCACTCTGCCTGGCACAGGAGGAGATAGACTACTTCAAGAAATACAGCAAGTTTCCTTTGGGTATCTTGTCCTGTGTCTTGAGCACAGGTGAAAGTAAGGGATACAGCTCGCTCTCTTCAGCCTTAGTACTGTGCTATGATTGATTTATCCTTCACTGGGAATAAGGTGTACTCTTAATTCAGAACTGGAATTTCCTCAGGCACAACTTTTTTTTTTTTCCCCGATAACAATTACGTCGCTTGAGGTGTTTCTCATTTTGTTGTTCGACTCGAGACTTAAAGCTTAAGTACACTTCCCCTGCTGTCGCTTCTGGCCCAGGCAGTCAGCAGACCTCTGGGTTTGTCCTCCCAGATAGAGTGGATTTAGACTGCTCATCTGTTGGCACTGTGAATCTAGGAAGGTGCCAGCAACATTCCTCTTATCTGAAGGGTTTTGCCTCACAAATCTAGGGCATCTTGCCTTACCACTGCTTTTATTACTAACAAAGATGGCGCTTCCCCCCGCCCCGTCCCCGTCCCGGCAGATGCGGGCGCACACACCGCTGC